TCAAAGCCTCCAGTTACCACTAAGTCAAGAATATATAGAATTTATCAAAATAGAATATATAATATTATGTTATGCATATTTTTTCAATTTTTGTTGGCGTACAGGCACTCAAGTATAAGTACCCTGATTAATAGGATAGAGAACTAGCTCAATCATTCTAGATCAGTGTTTATCTATACCTTCTCGCTTTTAGTTGCGCGTCTATATAGCATGTGGCATTCGGACGAATATTCTTCGTTACTCAGTATCAACTAAACGTGTTATAAGAATGAGTGTCAGCTCTGACAATGTCTGCCATGTAGGCATGACAGAAAAGGCTTAGCCCGAAAAGGAGGAGGAATGTCTCGTGGACTTCTTTAACATGAGCGTCTAATTTAAGCCAAAGGCTGAAAAACAACGAGGATCAACCGTCGTCTTCTTGTGAGCCCGACCAATGGATCTCTTCATCGTGCACTTTTATACGAAAATGTTGTCTAAAGAGATTGGTAGAAATCATGTTTTTATTCGTATATATAAGTGTATTAATGCTTTTTTGTAACTGACTCTGACGTTATTTACCACATGACAAACAGAAGCTCAGCATGGAGCGATAAGATCTTAGGTTGGTGAGTTGAGGGCTTCTTTGGATAATTCAACAGCGACATATTCGAGGCAAGCAGTTTTGGTTTTCGATTTAGCCAATTCAGGAATCCTGCTTAGTTAACTTTTACCTCAAATTGAAAATTGAGTCACATTTTATCATTCCTTTTTATTAGTCCTCTGGGGGAAGATTCTGCTTCTTTTAAAAGTGACGAAAAAAGTGGATTCTATTTTTTTTTCGAACGATTTGAGCCACATTTAGAATTAAGGCTGCTCCCTCTCTTGGATCAAGGCTTATTTCTCAGTCCTTCCGTTATCCTGTACCTCTTTTTCCCATCCTTGCTATCTCTCTCCCCCTCAAGATGAAGCTACTGGACTTCAGGTCTCAGCCTCTCGTGTCACATACGGCTGGGAGTGGCGCAGTTTGGATGACTCGCCGGCCGACCATTCGCATCTGGCCAAGCGTCTCACGACGGAGCGCAATACCGTACTTCTGAATGGCCTCCAGCCAGGCGCCATGAGCGTCAAGGGTCGCTGCCTGGTCACCTACCGTCCACCGGTCAAAGGTGCAGAATTAGGTCAGCGGTGGTTGTAGCGGATTATCCTATTTCCTATAAAGGATTACTTGATTTGGCAGTATTTCTTCGGGTTATCTGAGAAAAATTGCACTTTTCATAGATGAAAAAGGTCAAATAATTAATGTAGGTGATTCTTTTAGAGCAGCCTTAACATAATCCAGTTCCATCCCATAGTAATGGTACCTAAAGTAGGCGTATATTCAGGGCCTCAATAACTAAATTAATTAGAGCAATCCCATTTCCCAGGTTACTTTAAAGATTTGTACCCTAAAGGCGAGATGAAGTTATTAAAGCATCACTTTCATCCTCATCCAGATTTGATGGAAGTTTCGAGCTCGTTTGAACCTTCAACGAGTTTCGAGAGTAGTCGTATCAATTGACCCAGCCAGCTAGATCATAGTTAAATATTGTTTATGACTTGATATGCTTCAGAATGCCATTGATGGTGCAGATAAGAGCATAGAATGGGTGAAAATATAACCCAGCTTGCACAAAAAAGTCTTTCAAAAGTGGTAAAGTGAAATAACTTTTCAACTATTGGGATAAATAAATAAATTTATTTAACAGCCAAACTCATCATTGCTTAAAACATGGAAAAAACCAGGGAATAGTTACTATTAAATTTGCTTCAATGTTGCATTTGGGGAGGAAAATTTCTGAAAATTTATTCCTTCTTTCCAGAAGATGGACCAAGCTTCCTCTACAAATCAAACTTCTTCTTCGTATACCCAATTCAGCAAGAGACAATGGATAAGCCAGAACCTGGGCTTGAACCTGGCACTTTACCAGCTGAAGGTAAGTAGACTCTACAAGTAGGAAAAACCTCGTTTTTCCACTTTTTCCTTTTTTCCTTTACAATTTCTCTCCTTTTTGCCTTTCCAGCAACTGATAACCGTGTTATACTTCGTGTTATCGGCCTCAGCGAAGACGGAACACTGACCGCCGTTGAAGGCTCTGATGCCGAGCTTAAAATAGAGGCATATGGTAGGTATTGTTATTA